AGTCCTGCCTCCTTGTTACCAGTTGCGCTGCCCGTTGAAGCACTGCTTGGGAGGGGAACGCTCATAGCTCATGATAGCCCCAAAGTGGCGGTCAGTGAATTCTTTGAATCACAGTCTCTCAAGCTCAGGGTGAGAGGCAATCGTAATTTGCCCGTAAATAACAAAAAATGAGTCGCGGTTTTGAAGATTCTTCAGTTTCTCGGAAAGCGCTTTCACCAACTTAAAATTACATTCATTAAATGCCCTCATCTCATTATACGACGAACTGTACGATTCTAAAAGCTAGGAGCAGAATATGCGGCGCTTTATCGTTTTATCACCCAACCACACTACAGTCTTCCTTTCTCAATTCAGTGAACCCTCCAAAGTATCCGAAGGTTCCAAAAAAGCAGACGGTCCTACCCACGACTAAAGCGACAAATGGTATCGTTCACTCCAAATTTTCTTGCCCTCGCCAAGCCCAAACTTCCAAACCATTCTTATTTAACGAAGTTACATGAAGAATAAAAATCTTCGGCTGCCTTGAAGAGAGGCAACGGCCAAACTCTTAACATCTGCTTGACAAATACATTCGTCAACTCACCTGGCAGAGTGCCTCGTAGTGTCCAGTGTGGCGAAAAGGCGATCTTTAGGATTTAGGCTTGCAGCTCCGGTAAGACACTTCACTAAGCTCGTTTTCCCAGAGTTCGTGTACCTCAAAATACAAGTACTAAAAAATACAAATTCATGCGGTAGAGAAAAGAGAAATGAGGAACTATTCGAAGGAAGTGAAACCATACAGGTGTATTCTCTGAAAAGAGTAAAACAACTAGTAACAGAAAAGATCTGATGGTCAGACGAATGGTTTCTGAATAGCGAAATAGGCCGCAAGGTGCGGATGATTCCGGAATCTCTTTCCAGTCCGTGAGGAACTCAAAGAACAACTCGAACAAAGTCAATTCAGATTCCTCTTCCCCTCTCAGTTCCATCAAACACTGCATGCATGTAAACACACTAATGACATCCACATTCAGGCACTTAGAATAGGAAAGAATCAAAGGCTTGCAGTCGAATT